TTAAAGTTCCCCTCTCCCAAACTCTCAAAATCATCGTAAAAGACATATTCCCCTTTGGAATAATAAATGATGGGTGCCCCGGGGGCAGAAGAAAAAAAAAAAAAAACGTGTAAAAAACCCATTTTACCGTGCTTAAATTTTTGGCCCCCCAGCCTGAAAAACCGGAGGATTTTTTTTCGTGAGAGTGAAGGGTGGCCCGCGCGGGCTCTCCCCCTCAAAACGCCAGCCCCTTCTCCGTCTGGACGACACGGTTTTTTCAAGATGAAATTTCAACCCGTAAATTTATGCTGGCGATCTCGGTGAATGGAAGAGTGTTTTTACGTTTCTCACCTTAGGAATGTCCCTTTCAAAAAATCTTATTAAGAGAGAGAGAAAAGGGGATAGCAGGATGGAATTTAAAACCCATATTATGACGTGAAAATGGCATAGATTTAAAAGATGGTTGAATGGGGGTTGCCCCCCTTTCTTTTGAGAACTGACGTTGGCACATTTCCTTTGGGGGGTTTTCGGGGTGGTAAACCTTTTGCTAAGGAGAGTTTTAAGGGGGACTTTTTTTGCTAAGGGATTTGCAATGGCAGCTTGTTTGGGATTTTGGGTGTCTCTTTGTTAATTTGGGAGGTTTTCACCTTTGCCCAATTGAAAAAGACACATTTGCTAATTGCAGGTGGCACTTTGGCTAACGAGGTGGCAACCCCTTCCTAATTTTCAGGTGGCACCCCCTTTTAAAAAGAATTGTTGGGGGCACCTGCGATTTGATGCAATCGCAGGGTAGACCCGAATTTTAGTTCAGGGAAAAGAGAATTTTTTTTTAGCAGGGAAAAGATAGAGCAATCTTTAGTGATGGACAGATAGACATGCAATCTGCATGGATTTTAAAAGCCGAGCTAATAATAATAATTTAAAAATAATAAATAATAATAAAAATAATAATTTAAAAAATGTTTTTTTGAGTGTGAAACCCTCTCTTAAGGAAAAAAAACTGTGAAACATCTTTAAGGGGGAAACCTTTTACGACGTTTCGCCCCAGTTCCCGGAACCATTATAATTTTTTGGTCCTTTCTGGACCATTACTTTTCCCGGGCCGTCCAGGAGCTTTGCGTTTTTGGTTTCCCTCTTGGAATTTAAGTTAAGGGTTTAAAAGAGGCCCCGGGGTAAACAAAGGTCGTTCACCACTTTAATTTAAAGGTTTCACCCCTGGGAAAATGGGGGTTTTACCACTGGGGGGAAATGACGGTTTCAAAACCCCGGAACTGACGGTTTCACCTTTTTAACTGACGGTTTAATCACGGAAATGCGGTTTATCACTTGGGAATGACCTAAGGCTATTTTTTTCCCAGGTTTTTTTTATAATACATATATGGAAAAAAAACAGGTAAGGACAGAGTAAGGACGACGCAGGTAAGTTCACACAAAAAAAAGATAAGGGTGTGACATGGAAAAGGAATTAGGCATATTGTTCCTCTCTTAAGTTGTCGGGGAGAAATTCAGCAATATTTTTCACTATTTTTTGATGTTTTTTCCCTTCAGGGGTTTTAAAGCACTGTAATAAAGTCTTCCACTAACTTCGCGAGTTCTCCTCCCCCCAAACCCCCTAATCCCCTCCCACCAACCCCGTTCTCGTTTTCCCCTTTGTGTTTTGTGGTTGAAGGGGGGGTTTTGGGGGCAAAATACCAAGCAGACTTCGGCCTTGGGGAGAGCCGGTAAACCCCGTGTCCCTCAGTCAGTTGGAGGGATGTGTTTGGGAAAGGGTACCCAACAGTGCCCGCTAGCTTTTACTCCCTCCCTTTCCCCGGGCAGGGAAAAAACCCCCCCCCCCCCCTCTCTCTCTTCTGTTCTGTTTCACCTTCTCTTTACAACCTTTCCTCCGGGTTCAACTTCCATCAGTTTCTGCATAAACAGTGTGGGCAACCCCTCGAAAAAGTTATATAAGCCCAAATATTTCATAAAATATTTATATGTTATATATATATATAATATTTTTAATATAAATTTTTTAAATTTTTATATTTTAAAATATATATATAAATATTAAATTTTATTTATAATATAATATATATTATATTATAAAAATTTATTTATTATATATATATATATATATATATATATATATAAATTTTATTAGTAATGAAAATTTCCGTTTTGAAAAAATGGGGTTTCTAAATTAAACACCAAAGAGCCTTAAAAAAAAATCTCGATATTAGTGCCCCAAAAGTCGATGTAAATTTTTCATCATGGCCGCCAGCCACTCCCCCCCAAAAACCCCTGACAACCCCCGGGGTTTGGGGAAAGGGGTGAAAATCTTTATTCGGATAAAATTTAAATTTCCCGGGGCCCTTTTTAAAAAACCCCCTATAAATTTTAAATTAAAGGAAATCAACCATTGTGGCTTATCACCTTTAGAATATTTTAAATTTTCCCTTTTTCCCCGGGGTATGACCCATAAAAAATTTTTATTAATACCACCAAGGGAAAAAATTTACTTCTAGGGTGCATTGGGAAAAGCAGGTTTTTAAATTTGGGTATTTGCCCTTTTTGTCTTTTCCCAGGTTTTGGGTTTGGGAAGGGTTGTCAGGAAAAAAGGACAAATTTTTTACCCGACGCGGGTCTTAGGCAGTTGGGGACCCGGGCCCTTTTGGGGCTTTTTGGTTTATTGACCGGGGGCCTTCCCCCTGGCTTAAAACCCGGGCCCCCCCTTTTAAAAAAAAAAAGGGCATTTATTAAACCCTCTTTTTGCTTAAATCTCGCCCAGGAACGGAAACAGGGGGTTTTTTCCCCCCGTGGAACCCGAAAGTTCCAAACCCCGGAGCCCTGTCCTAAATTCCCCCCCCCCGGGCCCTTTGGGTTGCTTGTGTTTTTTCCCCGCCCCTTTTTTCAGTAAAATCTGGGAGGTACTTGAAAAGGGTTTTTTTTGTGTATGTAAGAGAACCTAGATTTTTTGTTTTTTCCCGGAGCAGCCGCGTTTCATGGTGCAGGCCCCAACGAGGCTTGAAATGCTGTTAATATACCGCTAGAAAAAACCCCGGTTTAACATATTGGTGAGGGGGGGGGGGGGGGGAGTGAGTTTGAGAGAGAGAGAGAGAGGAGAGAGAGGGGAGAGAGAGAGAGGAAGGGGGAGAGGGGGAAAGAGAGAGAGAGAGAGAGAGGAGAGGGTGGGAAAGAAGTAGATAATATCACTGAAAACAAATCAAATTCCCCTGGGCTTTGTAAACGTGGGAAAGGGCATTCGGAAAAGGGGTAAATGGACTGTTCCAGTGTTGGGGAAACAATGGGCAGAATACAACCCAAAAGAGGAAACTGGTTTTGATGACAAATTAGTCTGCACAAGGGTGCAGGATGGTCCCATAAGTGGATCCGAAATTTTAAACCCCAAAATTCCCAAAACTTGAAAGGTTTGGAAAGGGGGAAGAAGACCAAAGGGGTCGAGAGGGAAAGACCCCAATCCTCACCCAAGAAGGACCTTGAGGTGAGGGAAAAGTACTGGAAAATATTTACCCGTGGCCTCCCGCCCAATTTTAATTTTCGCAGCAAATTTGCCCCCATTTTTATTTTCCCAGAAAACCCAACCCAAAAAAAGTCAATTTTCGTTTTTTCACCCAAAAACTTCCCCCCCTTAAAATGGGGAACCATTTTCCAAAATTAAAACCCCCCTTGTTCCCCCAAAACCCCCCATCCCCCCAAAAAAAATTAAAAGGTTTAACAAACCCCCACCCCCCCTTCCCCGGGCTAATATGTCCTGGAGGAAATTTAAAACCAACCCCCGAACCCCCCTAAAAAGAGATAAGGGAAAGGGGGGGACCCCCCCGTAACCCCCCAAAATATAAAAAACGGAAAAAAATGACAAAAGGGGACCGGGGGGAAAGTTAAGGGGGGAATCAAGGGAACCCAAGGAAAAGGGCAGGGGGGAAGGGAAAAACAAAACAAAAAAGGAAAAAAATGGAAAAAGGGGGAAAAAGGGTTTTTCAGAGGCCTTAGGGGTCGCACGGGAAATTTAAAACAACCCTGGAAAAATTTGGAAATTTTTATAAGGGGCAGGTTTTAAAAAAACCTTAAGAAAATTACGGAAAAAACCTTTTGCCGGTAAGGGGGCCAAAAGCTGATATGGGGGCCCTGTTCCCAAAATTGGGGAAACAGAAAAGGGAAAAACAACAACAAAACAACACACACACACCCCACACACACAACACACCCACACACACCCCAAAACACACACACAAAAACACAAAAAATTTTTGCAAACCCCCCTTCCCCTCATATATCGAAAACCAAAGGGAGCTTTGTGGGCACCCCCCCCCCCCCAAACCCCCCACCCCCCCCACCGCGTTTTGGGGTTTTGAAAGCTGGGGAAACTTTTTCCTTTCACCGGTAAACTTTACAACCCCCAGTACCAAATGGACAACAGCTTGGGGTCTCCATCTCTTTGGGGTCTCTCGCAAAAAAAAAACCTTCAGACACAAAAAAATTGTATCCCAAAAATAACGCCAACGAAATTCCCTTAGACTTTATTTCTAGAAGTATTTCCCCAGAGTGTATTTAGAAGTAATCACTTTTCCCGACAAAACACACTCAACACCGGTGTTTTTTCCCGGGGGGTTCCACTGAACCTTGCCCTTCTCCCTACGGCCTGGTGTTCTTTCCCAAAACCCAAATACTTACCTTCCTACCCTTTTCCATAGGCCCCGGTGTTTTTCCAAACTTTATGACCCTTCCCCCTTTTTTCCCCACAAAGGGCCCGGGGGGTTTTTTCCCAAGGGGCCCCGTCCCGGCCTTCCTCTTCTCCACAAGGGCCTGGTGTTCTTCCAAGACCAATACGACCTTCCTATTTTTCCACGGGCCCGGTGTTTCCCAAGACCCTTTTGGGGCCCCTTCCCACTTCTCCACAGGGCCTGGTGTTCTCCAAGACCCAGTACTGACCTTCCTACTTCTCCACAGGGCCTAGTGTTCTCCAAGACCCAGTACTGACCTTCCTACTTCTCCACAGGACCTGGTGTTCTCCAAGACCCAGTACTGACCTTCCTACTTCTCCACAGGGCCTGGTGTTCTCCAAGACCCAGTACTGACCTTCCAACTTCTCCACAGGGCCTGGTGTTCTCCAAGACCCAGTACTGACCTTCCTACTTCTCCACAGGGCCTGGTGTTCTCCAAGATCCAGTACTGACCTTCCTACTTCTCCACAGGGCCTGATATTCTCCAAGACCCAGTACTGACCTTCCTACTTCTCCACAGGGCCTGGTGTTCTCCAAGGGTCAGTATGGCCAGCCAAACTGCATGTACGCGGGTCCACACTCCGGTAAGACTCACTTCGAGTTTCAGATATACTACAACAGCTGCGGCACCAAGCCAGACATGGGTGACAAGTTCTACGAGAATACTATCATCATCCAGTACGACGCTGACCTCATCGAGGTAGGTAGGACCCGAGAGGTGGTGCTCACTGGTCAGTTCATCACTACGCTGGACTTGCAGGTCAGTGTATTAATACACGGGACCTGCATGTCAGTAGTCGATGTATTATCATGTATAAATCAAGGAATTATATATGAAAGAAACAAATACAGTTCCCCTTAACCGTAGTTACTCCCATCCAATAACAAGTGTAGACTATACATAATATATGTCACCTGTATACCAGGCGTGTTACTCCGCATAAACAAGTGTTACATGTGAGGTGTACGTGTGTGTGACAGGTATGGGACGAGGCCAAGCGTCTACGGTGTGAGTGGTACAATGACTACGAGAAGACGGCCAGCAAGCCTCCCATGAAGATTGCTGACCTGGAGGTAGTCGAACTCAACTTCAGAGGTGAGCAACGATACAAGAACAACAATTATACACTAAAAATATACAGATAATGTGTGTGTGTATATATATATATATATATATATATATATATATATATATATATATATATATATATATAATATATAAGAACAAGAACATAAGAAAGGAGGAACACTGCAGCAGGCCTGTTGGCCCATACTTGGCAGGTCCTTTACAATCCATCCCACTAATCAAACGTTTGCCCAACCCTATTTTCAATGCCACCCAAGAAATAAGCTCTGATAACTCAAATCCAACCCCTCTCACTCATGTATTTATCCAACCTATATTTGAAACTACCCAAAGTCCTAGCCTCAATAACCCAACTAGGTAGACTGTTCCACTCATCAACTACCCTATTTCCATACCAATACTTTCCTTCATCCCTTCTAAATCTAAACTTGTCCAATTTGAAACCATTACTGCGAGTTCTCTCCTGGAGAGATATCCTCAAGACCTTGCTAATATCCCCCTTATTAATACCCATCTTCCACTTATACACTTCGATCATGTCTCCCCTCATTCTTCGTCTAACAAGTGAATGTAATTTAAGTGTCTTCAATCTTTCTTCATAAGGAAGATTTCTAATGTTATGTATTAATTTAGTCATTCTACGTTGAATGTTTTCTAACGAATTTATGTCCATTCTGTAATATGGAGACCAGAACTGAGCTGCATAATCTAGGTGAGGCCTTACTAATGATGTATAAAGCTGTAGTATGACCTCTGGACTTCTGTTGCTTACCCTTCTTGATATAAATCCCAATAATCTATTTGCCTTATTACGTACGCTTAGGCATTGCTGTCTTGGTTTAAGGTTGCTGCTCACCATAACCCCCAAATATTTCTCGCATTCTATACTGCTAAGTTCAACATTATTAAGCTGGTAGGTGCTAGGGTTATGAACATTTCCGAGCTTTAGAACTTTACATTTATCTACATTGAACTGCATCTGCCACTTTTCTGACCACGAATTGAGTTTGTCTAAATCCTCCTGAAGTTGTGAGACATCAACGTCTGAATAGATTATCCTACCTATCTTCGTGTCATCAGCAAATTTGTTTATGTCACTAGTAATTTCCTCGTCAAGGTCGTTTATATATATATAATAAACAACAATGGGCCTAAAACTGATCCCTGCCGAACGCCACTTGTTACAGATCCCCACTCAGATTTAACCCCATTTATACACACTTTCTGCTTCCTATTAGTGAGCCATGACTCCATCCATGACAGCATTTTCCCCCAATGCCATGAGCAGCTACTTTCTTCAAAAGTCTCTGATGTGGTACTCTATCAAAAGCCTTACTAAAATCTAAATAAACAATATCGAATTCTTTATTCTGATCAACGGCCTCAAAAGCTTTGCTGAAGAAGGTTAATAAATTAGTTAGGCAGGAACGGCTCCTGGTGAAACTGTGTTGAGTATCATTAATCAAATTATGCCTATCTAGATGGCTTCTTATATTATCAGCTATAATTGACTCTAGTAATTTGCCTACAATTGAGGTTAGGCTTATTGGGCGGTAATTTGACGGTAACGACTTGTCTTCTGCTTTAAAAATAGGAATTGTTAGGTAAGACACATATGCAACAGTTAGACAACTTTATTCCGAAACGTTTCGCCTACACAGTAGGCTTCTTCAGTCCTGAAGAAGCCTACTGTGTAGGCGAAACGTTTCGGAATAAAGTTGTCTAACTGTTGCATATGTGTCTTACCTAACAACCTGTCGGTATTGTATACCATTTTGATGTTCAAAAATAGGAATTACATTAGCCATCTTCCACATATCAGACACTACACCTGTTTGAAGAGATAAATTAAAGATATTAGTTAAAGGTTCACAGAGTTCCATTTTACACTCTTTAAGAACCCTTGAAAAAAGTTCATCAGGGCCCGGGGATTTATTTTGCTTTATTTTTAAGGGGACCTATCTTATCTCTAACTTTTGTTCTATAAACCTGGAAAAAACAAAAGTTAGAGATAAGATAGGTCCCCTTAAAAATAACTCTGGGCATCTCACTGACAAGGAGAATTAAATGTGATCTATTCTTAATAATTATTTTCTCTCGGTTTTCACTCAGGAAGACACTGACAATATCCCAGTAATTAATTTTTATAGTGGGCTTGAAGATGATAAATTATGCAATATCACAGTCAGCAAAACAACCATTGTGAAAGAATTTCACTACTCTTTCACAGTGGTTGTTTTGCATATTTTAAAAATCACCTGTTTACTGTGATCTTATTGCATATATATATATATAATATATATATATATATATATATATATATATATATATATATATATATATATATATATATATAATATATGTATATACATACATACATACATAAACACACACACACACATGTATATATATATATATATATATATTATATATATATATATATATAATATATATATATATATATATATATATATATATATATATATATATATATATATATATATAATAATATATATATATATATATAATATGTGTGTGTGTGTACATATGTGTACATGTGTATACATGTATGTGAGAGCGTACGTGTGGGTGTCTTTGTGTTTATGCATTTATTTACCTAGATGAGCGTTTTTTTTTTTCAACAAGTCGTCGTCTCCCACCGAGGCAGGGTGACCCAAAAAAAAGAAAGAAAATCCCCAAAAAGAAAATACTTTCATCATCATTCAACACTTTCACCACACTCACACATTATCACTGCTTTTGCAGAGGTGCTCAGAATACAACAGTTTAGAAGCATATACGTATAGAGATACACAACATATCCCTCCAAACTGCCAATATCCCAAACCCCTCCTTTAAAGTGCAGGCATTGTACTTCCCATTTCCAGGACTCAAGTCCGACTATATGAAAATAACCGGTTTCCCTGAATCCCTTCACTAAATATTACCCTGCTCACACTCCAACAGATCGTCAGGTCCCAAGTATCATTCGTCTCCATTCACTCCTATCTAACACGCTCATGCACGCTTGCTGGAAGTCCAAGCCCCTCACCCACAAAACCTCCTTTACCCCTCTTTCCAACCCTTTCGAGGGACGACCCCTACCCCTCTTTCCTTCCCCTATAGATTTATATGCTTTCCATGTCATTCTACTTTGATCCATTCTCTCTAAATGACCAAACCACCTCAACAACCCCTCTTCTGCCCTCTGACTAATGCTTTTATTAACTCCACACCTTCTCCTAATTTCCACACTCCGAATTTTCTGCATAATATTTACACCACACATTGCCCTTAGACAGGACATCTCCACTGCCTCCAACCGTCTCCTCGCTGCTGCATTTACCACCCAAGCTTCACATCCATATAAGAGTGTTGGTACTACTATGCTTTCATACATTCCCTTCTTTGCCTCCATAGATAACGTTTTTTGACTCCACATATACCTCAAAGCACCACTCACCTTTTTTCCCTCATCAATTCTATGATTAACCTCATCCTTCATAAATCCATCCGCCGACACGTCAGTATATTGCAGACCATTCTGGAGAAATACCCTGACTTTGCTAGCTGTAAATAAAGCATTACCACATGTGTGCATGTGTGTGTGTGTGTGTGTGTGTGTGTGTGTGTGTGTGTGTGTGTGTGTGTGTGTGTGTGTGTGTGTGTGTGTGTGTGTGTGTGTGGTGTGTGTGAGGGTGTGTGTGTGTGTGTGTGTGTGTGTGTGTGTGTGTGTGTGTGTGTGTGTGTGTGTGTTGTGCGTGCGTGTGTGTGGGTGTGTGTGAGGGTGTGTGTGCGGGTGTGTGTGAGGGTGTGTGTGCGTGTGTGTGCGTGTGTGTGTGTGTGTGTGTGGTGTGTGTGCGTGTGTGGGTGTGTGTGTGCGTGTGTGGGTGTGTGTGTGCGTGTGTGGGTGTGTGTGTGTGTGTGTGTGGGTGTGTGTGTGTGGGTGTGTGTGAGGGTGTGTGTGTGGGTGTGTGTGAGGGTGTGTGTGTGTGGGTGTTGGTGTGTGTGTGTGTGTGGGTGTGTGTGTGTGGGTGTGCGTCCTTGTGTGTATGCATATATTTGTACGCTCGTGTGCACATGTCCGTGCGTGCGCCCTCGTGTGTGTATGTGCGCGCGCGCTCGTGTGGGTGTATGATCCACTTAATATTTGTATTTATAACTCATTACAATTGTGACCAGGTATGGACGTATCAGTGGTTCATTACTTTGTAATTTGTTCATGACTGTAACCATGTATAGGAGTGAAGCTGATTCATTACCTCTGTAACTTGCCATGATTAGTGACCAGATCTACCTGGAGTTCATTACCTTTGTGACTAGTTCAGCTATCATAACTTTGGGGTCCAGTCCCTGGACCAATTATGTACCTCTGTAATCTTTTGACTACCGCCCACAGGATGGGTATGGGGTGCATAATAAACATATTAAACTAACGACACGTCAACTCCTAATTATCTGATGAGCGTGTGCGTGTGAAATAATTCAGGTGTCTGTATATTTTGTAAGAGAGAGAGAGAGGAATGAGGAGGAACAAAATACATATGGGGGACCAATAACGAAATAGATATGTGCACCAGTGTTGATCCGAGGCTTCCTTCTACAGGTGACAACGTGGACTGTTGGATGGAGATCCAGGACGGGAAGGGTCCCTGGGCCTCCCCTATCACCGGCATCGTTCCTCTAGGCTCCACTCTCACCATGGTTATTGCTATCAATGATCAGGCAGGTCGGTGTGCCACGCTCGTACCTCCTTTGTTACACCGCTACCCCTTCACCTTATAACATAGACATGGGGTATATACTGTTCATTGTATATACACTGAAATATCACTTTAATTCCTATTTTCAGAATTCACGTAATTTTGGATTCTGTTTTTTATGGCTCAGATGCAGTATATAATTGTGTAATCATAAACTAACTTACCTACATAATATATCTCCACTTCCTGCCCTTGGTACCTCGGTACTAGTTAATCACCTTTGTCACTCGGCACAAGTTCTGGAACTTACAATGTGCCACTTGATTTTGTAAAAAATGTGACTTTATCACGCAGGATATAATTTGATCTTACACCTGAGCACTTGTTCCTTACAATATTGAATTAGTTTTCCCTTGTGTTAGTTTTTACCTTGCAATATTGATCATGTCTTTGTAGTGGTTTTTTCTTTTTCTCTGTAGGCGAATTCGATATGCGGGTCACGTCATGTGAGGCGTCAGACGGCGTCAACTCCCCCATATACTTGAGCGACCAGTATGGGTGCGTCCTGCGTCCCAAGATGATCTCAAAATTCATGAAACTTCGTAACAACGACGGCCGCGCTACCGTCCTCACTTATGCTCACTTCCACGCCTTCAAATTCCCTGACTCAATGGCGGTCCACTTGCGCTGCAAGGTTGAGATTTGCCGATTTGGCTGCCCAGACCATTGCCAGAAACCCACTGCCGGCAATCCAATTGGGGACTACAGCCGTCAGACACTAGCTAGACAACCCAGTGACGTATATGCTGCCCCAGCGGAGCCCGTTGCCCAATACCAGGAGCCTCCAAACAATGTCGACACCTCTAATTTCGGGACAAGAAGGATGCGGAAGAGCCCCGGCCTCGCCATGCTTCCCTCGACTCTATGGCAATAAAGAACAAAGTACCCAAAGGTCCTCTCATCATTCCTGACGAGCAGTCTGCCCAGATATATCTCGACGGCACACCACTCCAGGGCAGCGAAACTATCGAACTCCCTAACTTCAAGGAAGACTTCCCCTGGGGCCCAAGAAACCTTCGCCGTCGACGCCGCAATGTGATTCTAGAGCGTCATATCCGTGCCTCCAACATCGGTGTCTCATCTGACTACCAGGTCATCTCGGAGGCAGATCTGGAGTTCACCCCTGAGCTGGATGACCGTGTCACCGTCTTCAAGGGTCACCGTGAGGACGTGGTGTACGGAGTTTGCTTGCCGGCACCAGGGTTCTCCGCATTATTCGTGCTACTAGCCATGTGTACTGTTATCTCTGTTCTGGTGGCCGGTTTCATGTGCCACCACCGACAGCTGCAGAAAGACACAACAGAGTCCCCCGCTGCTCCACACTCACATCAACAGGTCTTCAGCATGGTTCAATTCCTAAGGGGTCATCTCCCGGGCTACGCTCAGTGATAAGAGATATCACCATTTCAGGACAAAACTGCTCAAACCATAACTATCTCTCTCAACTTCTACCACTTCTAGGACTGTCGTGACGATGCGACCAGCGCGTAGCTGTTTCATAAAAGTTGATTGTTGAGAGATATTAGTAAAGTACAAGAGAAGGATCAATAAAAGAACGAATCACCTCATAGCAGTGATAGCACCTAGGACACGTGCTGGCAAAGCAACAATTTTAAATTAATCTCTAGCCTTTTGTTCCTGGTCCTTCACAGCTTGATGAGCGCCCCGAGCAGCCATCACATCAGTCCGAGTGTTGTATATAGTCTACCTGAATCTCCTCTCGTGCGACTAAATGGGTCTTGCTAAATTATCGTTTCGACATAATCTTTCAATACTCAGAATAAACCTATTTTTATAGTTTTACTAATTTTTACAGTATTTTAATTTGATGTTTCTTGTATATTGAGGGCCCATTTAGTCCATGTCAGAAGCTGAATTAAGGAAAGCACAAGATATTACTCCAGTCAAGTTCTGTGTATTAATGACGTTATGACAACTGTCCAGTCACGGGTGTGGGCGGCTGGGGATCCGGGAAGGTCTATGGGTACTGCTATGAATCTTTCTGCCTGTGGGAAACTCAACAGGTATCCCCCTCGGACCAAAACACACTTTCCCATTATATGAACGAGGCTCTAGAAGTCACTTTGGCTGATAATGCACTGGTGTAAGCGTTAATACCGAGCGTGGGGGTGTAGTGGTGCTGTCCGTGAGAGGGCCTCCTCTCTAACATTAAGGCTTGAGAGCTGCCTTCGTATCAGCTGGCAGAGAACACATAAGTAGATGCAGTGGATACCTTTATTATCGATAACGTTTCGCCCACCCAGGGGGTTTTGTTAATAAACTGATAATGACCCTCCCTTAACGAGTTGCTCGAGTTTGCCCAAGCCTAATAGTGATACACTTTTGACTACATGACAGCTGGGGTTAGTGACCCTGCCTACTGGTGACGACACCAAGCCCAGTCAGTGATTCTGGCCAAGTTGGTAGGAAAATTCCCAAAGTGACTCCCTCGGAGTTTATTCTCCTTGGTTGTGTTGACACAGCCGCGATCCCGAGAATGTTATTGTGTACATTGTGGCGGCCCCGGGGTGATCCACGGCACCCAGGTGACCTCTACAAATTAGTTGCGAGTGTATGTTAATTTATGTGTGTGAAAGCGATTGTATGTGCGTGTTTATGTAGGGGCGGGGAGTATGTTGGCTCAGTCCGTAATGTTTGTACTGTGTTAATTATAAGTTAAGAACCCATCCGTCGCCTCCCAATAATTTTCTCCTTTTAGAAGTTATTTATAGCATAAACTGACTTTCTGTTTCCCTTTTAAAGATGCTTAGAGATCTGCAAATGTCTACTTTGACTCGTGGCTCAGAGTGCCTTAATCTTGTAACTAATATACCCGGGTTCGATCCTAGGGTGAGTAAAGACGTTGGGCATGTTTTATTACCCCTGTTTTTCCCCACTGAGCGACAAAGACCCATTGTGACCTCTGTAATCCTGATTTTTTGAGCTACCGGTGACAGGATGAGCTGTAGGTATACAATATACTAGCCGTTCAGACGACACAACTAACACACCTGTTTCTCCTGTTCACCTAGCAGTAAGTAGATACTTGGGTGTTAGTCGACTGTTATGCGTCGCATCCTGAGGAAGAGGCCCATGGGACCCAGTGGAAATAAACCACCGATTGGTTCTCTTGGGTTATCCTGGGTTACTAACCCTGTGAATTAATCCGAAAATTCTTCTTCGTCTCATCCTAAGACAAACAGTGACTTAGCGGCTGCTTTTCAGGTCGTATATCATATCCGTCTATCCAGAGGCCTCTAGTATCTAATTTAATGCGTTATGCTAGCCGTATAGTGTACTTATACCTTACTTTGTTAATAACGTAAATAAAAAGAAGTAAGAAAGATGATATTTTTTGACCCTGCATACTTTCAAAATAGAAACTCAATTCATTTTTAGTTATGATTATTATTATTATTATTTTTAGCAGTTTAGCCTGCATCACCCAAAAAGTCATTTTCTTTCACTTCCTCAACAGTAACAGAAAATGGAAACCTAAACCCATCGCTGGAACTTTTTTTGTCCAGTTTTCGTTAATGTTCTCAAGTATATAAAGATGATAAAAACTTATACCGCAATTGAACGTCTGTTGATAAGCTTCACTGTCAGTATGATGTTGACTAGTGACCACATGTATGGTGAGTGGTCGCCCCTCACTATGAGAGCCAGGGACTCCTCTACGTATATCACTGACTTACACAACTAATTGTTATTGATACTAATAAAAAATATTTTGAATAAAACGTTTTTGTATGTTTTACCTTGTGTGTGTGTGTGTGTGTGTGTGTGTGTGTGTGTGTGTGTGTGTGTGTGTGTGTGTGTGTGTGTGTGTACGTACAGAGCTGTATGACGCAGTATCTCTCTCATTCAGTCATGTTAGTGTACATTGTGATATATCCAGAATCGTGGAGCAGTGTTTGGCCAGTAGCTAGGTATGGTGGCTCTTGGCCTGGTATGGTGGCCCGTGGCCTGGTATGGTGGTCTAGTATGGTGGCCCGTGGTCTAGTATGGTGGCCCATCGCCTGGTATGGTGGCCCGTGGCCTGGTATGCAAAGATCTCGCTTCACCTCGACCAGTCGGGCTGTGGTTCGTACGCTGGACTGCGTGCAGCCAGCAGTAACAACCTGGTTGATCAGGCCCTGATCCACCATGAGGCCTGGTCACAGACCGGGCCGCGGGGGCGTTGATCCCCGGAACTCTCTCCAGGTAAACCCGTTGAATTTCCGTGGTTCGATTCCCGGTAGGGGTGGTCTCAAGACCTGGACTATATGTGATGCATGCTGGTCTCACGAAGGACGAATAGACCTGGAAAGAGTTTCGGGGTCAACGCCCCCGCGGCCCGGTCTGTGACCAGGCCTCCTGGTGGATCAGCGCCCTGATCAACCAGGCTGTTTCGGCTGGCTGCACGCAAACCAACGTACGAGCCACAGCCCCGGCGGATCAGAACTGCCTTTAGGTGCTTGTCCAGTGGCCACTTGAAGACTGCCAGGGTCCCTGTTGGTAATCCCCCTTATGTGTGCTGGGAGGCAGTTTGTACAGTCCCTCGGTCCCTGCACTATTGTACGGTCTCCTTAACGTGCTAGTGACACCCCTGCTTTTTGAAATTGGGGGATGGTGTGCAATCGTCTGCCAAGTCTTTTGGCTTTCGTATGAGTGATTTTTCGTGTGCAAGTTCGGTACTAGTCCCCCTAGGATTTTCCAGCGTAATATAATCATGTAACTCTCACCTCCTGCGTTCCATGGAATACAGGTTTAGAAACCTCAAGCGCTCCCAGTAATTGAGGTGTTTTAATCTCCGTTAGCGCGCCGTGAAAGTTCCTGTACATTTTCTAGTCGGCAATTTCACCTCGCCTTGAAAGGTGCTGTTAGAGTGCAGCAATTTCCAGCCTAGATAGAACAAGTGACGCCTGAAGAGTGTCATCATGGGCTTGGCCTCCCTAGTTTTGAAGGATCTCATTAATCCATCCTGTCATTTTTCTAGCAGATGCGATTGGATACCATTGTTATGGGTCCTTGAAGGTGAAGATCCTCCGTTACAATAAATCACTCCCAGGTCATTGACGTTGGGTTTCGCTCTATTTCGTGGCCAGACTTTGTTTTGATACTCTGAAGAAGATAAAAATTCCCATGTTTACCATAACTGAGTAATTGAAATTTCTCATCGTTGAACTTCATAAATTGTTATTTCCCTCTGCAGTCCCCTGAAAGATTTGTTGATGTCCGCATGGAGCCCTTGCAGTGTCTGGCAATGAAGACACGTCATGCAGATTCGGGTGTCATCTGCAAAAGGAAGACACGGTGCTGTGGCTGACATCCTTGTCTATGTCGGATATGAGATGAGAGAACAAGATGGGAGCTAGTACTAGTGCCATGTGGAACAGAGCTTCTTCACCGTAGCTGCCTCGACTTTACTCTGTTGACGACTACTCTCTGTGTTCTGTTAGTGAAGAAATTATAGATCCACCGACAACTTTTCCTGTTATTCCCTTTAGAGCGCGCATTTTGTGCGCTATTACCATGGCACACTTGTCGAAGCTTTTGCAAAGTCTTTATATAATACATCTGCACTTTTTTTCTTCTATTGCATTTAGAGGACCTGAATTCCCCTTTTTTTCCCCCCCCCGAAAAATGGAGCTCCCCCTGTTTTTGAATTTAAAACATTGCTTTTGGGCCCCCCTCTTGTTTGCACCTGCTTTTTTTTTTCTTTTGCAATAGGTTTTTTTTATTTGAAACTTTTTTTACTAGTCCTGTCCTTTGTGGAAAGATTTTCCTAAACCCGTACTCCTGGACTTTACTTCTGTTCCCGACTACTCCGGTTCTTTTTTTAGGAATAAGTCCATCCCCAACTTTCCCCCACTTTTATTCCCCCTTTACCATTTTTTGCGCATCCCAGCTCACCATTTGCCCCGGAACCCCTTTAAAAGCTTAATTACTCCCCCAATTTTTTGCCTTCAGTCATTTAGCACCCCCCCTAGTCTTCATTTTGGGCTAAGCCAGAAAAGGGCGACCTTAAAACCCATTTGCCCATGGGGTTGTGAAATTTAGGTTTTCAAATGGGTGGTTTACCCTTCTTTTTAACCCTTTGTTTTTTAGTAGATTTTCCTATTGGCTTACCCAAAACACTTCCCCGTTTAATCCGTGGAATCCCCGCGGGTGGAAATATTGAGCGTGTTTCCTTACACCTATTGTCCTGTTTACCTAGCAGTAAGTAAGTACCTGGGTGTTACTCGCTGGTGTTGTCGCATCCTGGGGGACAAGATTTAGGATCCTAATGGAAATAAGACAGTCCCTAGATAACGTACTGCCTTTCATGGGTTATCCTGTGTAGCTAACCCTCCGGGGTTAAAAATCCTAACGAAATCTTATCTTACCAAGTAGTTAATCAGGATACAGAGATTCCAATCAACGAATATTGGATATTTAAGACTCCTAATGTCGATAGGGAAGGTCACACAGGCTTTGTGACCACAGACTTTCATAAGGTATTTAACAGAGTTAACCATAGCAGGTTGTGTAAGGAACTACATGGAAGCGACAGATTCTGTAGACTGATTTAAGTCTTATTTGAGCAACAGAATTGGCTGGTAAAGCAGCTCACACACTGAGTGTCCGTGGTTCGATCCCCGGCACGGGCCGAAATATAAGAAAGAATGAACACTGCAGCAGGCCTACTGGCCCATGCGAGGCAGGTCGAAGTCACCTCCCGGCTTCAATTAATGACTCACCTAATCAGGTTAGGTCACATCCACTTAAAGAAGGATCACGGCATCCGACCTTGTAGCACAAGCTAGTCAGGCCCAACTCACACCCACCCACACCCACTCATGTATTTAACCAACCAATTTTTAAAACTACACAGCGCCTTAGTTTCTATGACGGTGTGAATATTAACATGGTATACAATACCGACAGGTTGGTAGGTAAGGCACATGAGCAACAGTTAGGCAACACTACATTCTCTCTACTACCACCCTGCACGTCTCCTTCCCACAGTATATGTCTCCACACTGTCGCTTGTTCCTTCAGATTGTTTCAGACTATGGAACAGAACTCCTCCAGGCTGAGGGACTGACAACCTCAAATCTTCGATTTCAGGGTGATGGAATGATTATATCGTCTTCACATCTCTACTGCTCCTGCCTACTTTTGTACTCGACTGAAGAAGCCTAAAGTGTAGGCGAAACGTTTCGGAATAAAGCTGCCTAACTGTTGCCTATGTGTCTTACCTTCTATGACGGTACTTGGGGGTTTGTTCCACTCATCCACAATTCTATTACCAAACCAGTGCTTTCCTATATCCTTACTGAATCTGAATTTTCCCAGCGTTGGCCATGTTTCCTTATACCTGCTGTCCCTGCTCACCTAGCAGTAAGTAGGTACCTGGGTGTTAGTCGACTTATGGATCACATCCTGGGAGATAAGAATAAAAGACCACAATGGAAATGACGCACTGACATAATTAGGTTTTCCTGAGTGGCTAATATTCCCCCGGGTTAAAAATCCCAACAAATCTTATCTCAGAGTTAAAACCACTGCCGATAAAGGGTGGAGTTCCACAAAGGGGCATTCTAGGTCCCTTACTGTTTCTGTGTAATATCAATGACATGCCCATTAGTGTTAAGTGTAAACTCCTGCAGTATGCAGATAACACACAGTGTTAGTTAAATCAAGTGGATAAAGACCCATAGAATATAACTAAAGCATTATCACTGCAGTCTTCTAGCAGACAGTTTAACAAACTCTCGTTACACATAAGAAAAACTAAAGCCATACTGTTTGACTTAAAGGATAAACTTAAAAAGTTTAATAATTTCAGAGCGGTGCGTACCGAGGAACCCGTCACAGAAGTGACCAGCGAAATATCCTTCGATCTGTGCATGTCAAGATGTAACAGTGAGCAGTACAGCAATAAAAAACAAATGTATCCAACTCCAGTAGTGGAGAACTGACGAATTGGGTTCGAATCCTGCTGGGTGCGATAATCTATGTATGTCGTGCTGAATAGGTAAAACTTGCGATTTGGGTTTAAATAGCAACGCTCATCTTGCCGAATACGACAAGCGAAATTTGTGTATGTAATAATTTTGCAATAATTATTCTGAACCTAACGAAAATAATATAATTGTAATTATTATTAAATTATTGTAAACTTATATAAAATATATTTAGCTGGATTAGGCTAACTTAAATTGCGCTTGGTATAATAAGGTTAGGCAAGTTTCCTAAGGTTCTTTTGGTACAAATTTATTAATTTTTATATTACATAAATGAAAAAAATCTTTAAATGTATAAGAGAAAATTTTAGAAATGACTTAATTTTAAACGAGTTCTTGCTAACTGACCAGTTTTATATATATTTATTATTAATAATATATATATATATAATATATTATATATATATATATAATATATATATATATATATATATATATATATAATATATATATATATATATATATATAATGTGTGTGTGGTGTGTGTATGTATGAGAGGGAGACTATAAAACGCACATGTTACTAATGTGAAGACATCTAGTGGTGGATCAGGGCATGATCAACCAGACTGTTACTGCTGGCCGACATACAAACCACAGTCCGGTCGGTCGGGAACTAATTTTAGGTGTTTGTCCAGCTTCCTATCGAAGACAGCCAGGGGTCTATTGGTAATTACCCTTATGGCTGGTGGGAGGCTGTTGAACAGTCTTGGGCCCCTGCCACTTATTGTATTGTCTCAGTGTACTCAACCCTACTTTTCACTGGGGGATATTGCATCACCTGCCGAGTCTGGGAGAGACTTCCGGGTACGTTATTCTAAATTATATATCATACAAATTACAGATATTCTTTAAAATTTAAGTGTTGAAACCGAGCCTCGTATATTCACCCGGCCGGTCCATCATTATTATGATCAAATAAAGCGCTACACCGACAAGGGTCATGCAGCCGTCCATCAGAATTATGTTGCACACGAAGAAACATGACTGATGTTATGACCATCACTGACCTGTCAACAACATACCTCCCGTTCAATATATTTGGTCCCCTTTTTAAATGATTTTATGGATTTATGATTGTGGATGTGATAACTGACCGGTAAAATATGTCTGCATTCGTATTATAATCAAGGGGGAAGCGCCAAACTCGTAGGAGTATACAGGGCCTGTGGGGGTTGGATTCAAGGTATTCCGGCTTAATTCAGGGAACCAGAGCACAGATCCAATTGCCTAGATCAAGAGCCCCTCACCAGGGACAAGGAAGCTTCCTCGAGGGTCAGCATTCATAGATCTAACAGTCCTGGCAGGTAACTTGGTCATCAAGTCACCATTATCGTTACAAGCCACGTTAATTCACTCATTACAATGGTCATTACTTTTCTATTTACTGTAAGTTAACATATATCACTTCTGCTCTACATGAAGTGTCAAAAACTTTCTTCCACAACTGATTACGTATTATTATAATCAAAATAGAAGCGCTAAACCCACTAGGGTCATACAGCACTGTTTCCACAAGTGAGTTATGACACCTGACTCATCCTTCACAGTTTTGCGATGTAAACAAGCCCAAAGGGACACATTAACAATATGTTAGTTAGTAAGGTATGGTTTGTTAGCAAAATATTGGTCAGGCCTCGCATCTGGGTAAGCCCAAGATGCAATAACACGATACACTCAAGGACATAACAGCTCCCGTTTCTCGGCTCAAGAGCCCCATACCATTATTAAGGCAACCCCTAATGAAGGAGCGTGAGGCTCACCTCAACATCAGAATGTCTTACTATTGAAGAAAGTGTTGATTACCAAAATTCTAATATAAATTTAGTAAAGTGGAATTATTTTTATTTTACGTACATTTTACCTGGGTTAGGCTTCTTTGCTATGTTAATTTTGGTGGAAAATAAAAGATACACATTGCTGGGGACAACTTCATTTCGTAAAAGAAATAATATGAACTGAAGATGTAGTCATTTTAAACCTCTTTCATTTTAGGTTATGATAAAAAGAAAAATTGTTCATTGGCAGAGGACGACCTGGGAATTGGTGATTCATGGAAATACCACAAGGCAGACTTAACGAGACAGCATATTCCTGGCCGACCCTTAAATACCTCTCAGTGGCAAGGAATTGGAAAGGCAGATGTTGCTCTCCTCTTTACCTGTATCATCCACGAAGGATCCAGATGGGAAAAGATCACTAGACGTAACAGTACTTGGCTAGAATAGATGCCCACGCAGCTTCCGGACATTCTAAAAATTCCTCAGTGGATAGAGGTCAGGCGCTGGAGCGGAAAACCGCATCCGCTGGGACCAGTGGCACACACACAGACGTAAACAAGATAATAACTCAAAAACACTAACCATGGACGAACTTTTATTTTACGTTTCATCCTATGGCCACAAGTACTGTTTACCTACACACATGAACAATCAGCAACAACCACAGTTTCCCTACACACATTCTGCGACAACCATAGTTTGCCTACACACATTCAGCCACAATCACAGCTTACAAACACATTTAGCAACAATCCTGATCATTAGAAGACTCTCAGAGAAGCTCACAGACGTTGTGACAACTAGAGGAAGATACAGCAAACTTCACCAAGGCCGCACTCTCCCTTGAGGTCCCTTGGGGCTCTACCACAGATGCTTTCAGGGACACAATCTCCCCCACGCTCCCTGCACACGATTATGTTGTCTGGCACTGTGGAGGGAGACAGACATTTATTTTAATTAAAAATACAGTAACTGCACCAACAATATGCTGCTACATTGCAATAGCTAAATCATAAAAATGTTTTATAATTCCATAAATTAGGAGTTCATCAGCAATGTTTCCCAGTCATATTTCATGACACGGGATCGGTTTTAAAATAGATGACGTAATGAAATCTGTCAGCCTGAGGTGGGAGACTCGGACTGATAACTGCTATCGCAGTTTCAGATTTCTCTCTAGCAGAGTTGGAGTCACTGCTATGTGGAAATTACCATCTCTCAGGGTGACCTCTCACACAGGAAGAACCAAGTAACGTGAGCAGGGAAGCTATGCACACGAAAGGATACTTTTTTTATTATTATTAAAGAATATTACGTGTATCAGTAGTTTTCCACTTTGAGAGAGACTGAATGATAAAATTATTCGACTTATTTCCATCGGGGTCCCAAATTTCCAGTCAAGGTTCGTACTCACCCCCGTAGCAGCACTCTGCGCCCAGACCCTGCTGGGCTGGACACAGTCCCTTCTCCGGATGTCGCAGCTCAACCGGGCAGGCAGTACCCAGACCACAGATCCCACCTTCCGCCGAGCATGGATCCTCTGGCCGGAACTATGGAGACGCAGAAAAAAAAAGTGAGATATTAAGAGAAAATGGGAAACTTTAATTATTTCCACATTAATTGAACAAAAAAAAACGTTAAATCCGTAAGGATCATGCAGCACCCAGGAATGGGAGGTAATCATGGTTCATCTTAGGAAAGGTAAAGTAATTTCAATTCCATAAATCAAGAGCCCTTCACCGGCATCAAAGTACTGCTTGAAGGGAGAGGGGATGGGATGTGTAAAGAGAAAACAGGTGATGGTAACTGCCAAGAAAAATAAAATAATTTAAGCCGAAGGAAAACGAGTGGGTGGTGTCGACAGAAGAAAACGGGAGGTGAAGTGCCAAGAGAAACTGATGAGGGAAAATCAAAAAGTATATACAGTGGTCCCTCGTTGTTCGTAATTAATCCGTTCCTGGAGCCGTTACTATAAACGAAATTTACGATTTACGAATCAATTTTCCCCATAAGAAATAATGTAAATACAATTAATCCGTTCCTGACACCCAGAAGTATTAAAACAAAAAAATTTTTAACATGAAATATACATGTAGTACATAAACAATACAATGGGAAATGATGAATGAAACATTAACAGCATAACACTTACCTTTATTGGAGATTCTTCTTAGTGTATGGGAGACTGGAGGAGGAGAGAGAGTGGATTGTTTATAGTTTCGAAGGGAAATCCCCTTCCATCAACACCTCAGGTACCATTTGCTTTTCTGAGGTTGATTCTCTTCTCTGTTTCTTAATGCCACTAGGACCACCTTAAGAGTCACTGGAGTCCTGTCTCACAAAATAACTGTGGAGAGAGCTCTGTTTCTGGCGTCTCTTTAACACTTCCCTAAAATGGCCCAAGACTTTGTCACTGTACATGTTGCCAACCTGGCTTGCAACAACCTTGTTAGGGTGATGTTTCTCCATAAAGCTTTCCATCTTACCCCACATAGTAAAAATCTCTAATTTCTGAAGAAGGCACCTTCTTCCATCTCTCTTCCTCCTCCTCTGCAGCAAGATTCTGAGCTGCAATGTGTTGCTCTTCCTGCTGAAGCTCTTGCAGTTCCTCAGTGGTGAGCTCTTCATTGTGGTCTTCCACCAATTCTTCCACATCCTCCAAACTCACATCCAACCCCATGGAACTCCCCAGTGCCACAATTGATTTTACAACAGACATAGGCTCATTAGGGTCAGTCCCAAATCCTTCAAAATCCCTCTTGTCGACACAATCTGGCCACAATTTTCTCCAGGCAGAGTTCAAAGTCCTGGTAGTCACTCCCTCCCAAGCCATACCTATAAGGGTTATGCAGTGGAGGATGCTGAAGTGTTCTCTCCAAAATTCCCTTAGGGTCAAGTGAGAGTCTGTGGTCACAATCAAGCACCTGTGAAACATTGCTTTTGTGTAGAGCTTTTTAAAGTTTGCAGTAACCTGCTGGTCCATGGGTCGGAGGAGAGGAGTGGTATTCGGGGGCAAGAACTTTACTGTGATGAACCCAAACTCCTCGAAAATTAGGTCATCCAAGTTTGGAGGATGAGCAGGTGCATTGTCCATTACTAGCACGCACTTGAGATCCAATTTCTTTTCCAGGAGATACTCCTTCACACTAGGGCCAAACACTTCATTGAACCACTACGAAAATTTCCCTCGTGACCCATGCCTTACTATTAGATTTCCAAAACACACACAATTTACTCTTCATAACATTGTTTTTCCTGAACACTCTGGGATTTTCAGAATGGTACACTAGTAATGGCTTCACTTTGAAGTCCCCACTAGCATTAGCACAGAACATTAGTGTCAGCCTGTCTTTCATAGGCTTGTGTCCTGGCATTGCCTTTTCCTCTTGTGTAATGAAGGTCCTCTTTGGCATTTTCTTCCAAAAGAGGCCTGTTTCGTCACAATTGAACACTTGTTCAGGTTTCAGTCCTTCACTGTTTATGTACTGGAATTCATGCACATATTTTTCAGCCGCCTTGTGGTCCGAACTGGCAGCCTCACCATGCCTTACCACACTGTGTATGCCAGTACGGTTCTTAAATCTCTCAAACCAGCCTTTGCTGGTCTTAAATTCACTCACTTCACCACTATTTGCAGGCAATTTCTTTACCAAATCTTCATGCAACTGCCTAGCCTTTTCACAAATAAACGAAGTCATAAGAGTATCTCCTGCTAATTGTTTCTCATTTATCCATACCAATAATAACTTCTCAACCTTTTCCAGTACTGGTGATCTCATTTTTGTCAGCATAGTTACTCCCTTTGCAGCAACAGCATCCTTTATTTCATTTTCTTGGCCAATATGGAACATAAGGTTGTGTAGGGTTTTTTATACATCCTGGAGAGTTCGGCCACACTTGTACCACTTTCATATTGTTCAATGATGGTTTTCTTAAATTCAATCGTATTTCTCACCTTCTTTACCACAGGCTTGGCACTAGGAGCTTTCTTTGGAGCCATGGTAGCTTATTTAGTACTTGCAAGCACTAAAATAAATGGAATATTATGAAATATTTCGCTGGAGCATGTGAGGGGGCCTTCGCTCACTGGTAAACAATGCCAGACTGGCTGCCGCCCTGGCTCACGCCGTGGGTACGCGTCCCAGACGAACTACGACTCGCGAGTCAACCTATGAAAAGCGAGTCCATGTTTATACGAAAATACCCCTATGATTGGCGAATTTTACGATTGCCGGGAACTACGAAAAGCGGGAGACCACTGTATATATAAAAAAGACGCAATATGGAACACATGAGTTGTTAAAGCTGAGAGGAATGAAGACAAAACAAGACAATGAGTGATATAAAAGCAAAAAATAGTCATAGAAAGGTACTGAAACAAAAAAATTAAGTGATTGAAGCAGAGCATAAGTGGTTTCAGGTGTATGAAGTACACGAGAGCCATTAAGGCTGCGTATAACCTATTGACCACCTGTCAAGAATACTTTAATCACTAAAATAGGGATTTACGTAAACTTTCAGTGTGTATACGCTGAGACACTGAAACAAACACACACATACCTCGGTGTACAGTATACTGTATAACCTTGTTTGACCGTCAGAAAAGTTTCTTTACCCTAGTGCACATGCGTTTGGGACGTTTCGACCATTAGCGAAACTTTTCAACTGCATATGTATATATCCACAAACCTGAGCCTCGTTCGAAAAATATCAGTGTAGTATTTACCTTTGTAATCTTTTCAATAAAATTAAGAATTAGTTCAAATATACGAGTATGTATAATTTTGATGATTAAATTCCAGCAAGACAACACTGTGAAAACTTCATGTATACCAATTTTTTACCAAAATCTTACAGGCACACGTCTCCTGAGAACCAATTAGTCTTATACCAGCTGCCTCTGTTCACCTAGCAGTAAGAAATATAAACACATATGCAGTATAATGTGATCCTTTATTGACAACGTTTCGCCCACACAGTGGGCTTTTTCAAGTCCTGTGTGGGCGAAACGTTGTCAAAGTATCACATTATACTGCATATGTGTGTTTATATTTCCACTGTGTCGGTATTTTATACCATTTATTTCCACCTAGCAATAAACTGGTACCAGAATGATAGTTTCTTAACGTCTGCTGCCTCTGTTAGTCTAGTAAATAGGTACCTGGGTGAATCTCAATATATCTGCTGTCTCCGTTCACCTGGCAGTGAATAGGTACTTGGGTGTTAGTCGAGTGTTGTGGGTCTAATGACAATTGTGTTGCAGAGGTCAGACCTCTGCAACACAATTGTCAAAGATTTGTTAAGTTATACCATGAATTAAGGAAAGATCCTGGACTTCACCTTACGAAATAGACAAAGTAAATGCGATAGTAATTATGGACAAGGTAGATTATAGTTGAAAAATTAATATATTAGAAGACGGAGGTAACATATGTGTCTCTTAAATTCTGTGTTGAAAAATTTTTGTTCTTATCACGTCAGTGAAGTCAAATGTAGTTTTATTGCCTTTTTTAAGACGTGGTACAATACTTGGCTTTCAAGGGAGAGACTTGAAAGTAGGAAGACTTGCATTAGTCCATTATTATTATTATAATCAAAAAGAAGCGCTAAGCCACAAGGGCTATACAGCTTTAGTCCAGCCTTGAGTGTTCCACTTACTGTGCAGTTTATATAATGAGAGAGTCAAGGACAGTCAGCGACAGTCAAGGACAGTGGAAGGACCAGAAGAATGTTAAGCCTATATGTCAGTCACAGAGCACTTATATTCATGTAGGAGGCGTTAAACTCTTAGGGAATGGGAGATAATGAGATATGATTCAAGGATTGAGAAAATATCCCCATTCGAATCAAGAGCCCTTCACTAGCATCAACACCAGCTGAAGGATCTTACCTTGATACTCTCCCCAGCCTCCTGGGCAGCTCCCTCACCTGTAACAACACACAAGCACTTTACTCTCCCTCACTGATGATGGTTGATATATCAAAAAACAGGACAAGTGCATCAATGGTGGTGATTCATATGTCAGGATAAAAAGGATAAGCGTATTCTGGCTCAGGTCTTAATTAAATTATCATCATTAACTGGTTAATGAAGCATCCACTGCTTCGGTTTTTCTCTCCTTAAAAAAAAAGGATCACTACCTAATGGGGTGGTTGGTTAATGGGGGTTGAAAGCGAATTGACTATACGAGCCTCCTTAAGACAGCTCGTCGCCTGTTCATTACCAGTCAAGAAAACTTTCATTCTTAAAATAATTATCAAAGTATCGGTGTACTTACACAATGTCATGATATGAAGTAATCTATCTTAAGACACATGGCAACTGCGGCTTATTTAATTCCATTAATTTCCTTTCCTAGTGTATAAGGTCAATTTTCTAACGCTTCCTGGAACCTTACAAACACCGTTCCTTTAAGTTATTTTAGGTTAGGCTGGGATGCGTTCGATTAAGTTATTTTGACGTACATTTTTTTTTACCTGTCTACACATTAAAATAAAAAAAAAAAGTCAGTGATACGTCTGGCAATGAGGTTGTGGAATTATTATTATTATTATAATCAAGGGGGAAGCGCTAAACCCGGAGGATTATACAGCGCCTGGGAGGGGGGGATGTGGAAGGCATTCAGGCTTAATTCGGGGAACTGGAGCTCAGATCCAATTCCCTAAATCAAGAGCCCCTCACCAACATCAAGGAACCTTCCTTGAGGGGTGAGGTTGTGGAAGAAAACCATGAAACGTTCAAATCAGTGTAATTAACAGTGCTGGTGCGAATCAGGGCTACACTTGAGTGTACAGTGTTGTGTACAATAACAAGGTGACCCTTCCTAAGTGAATTATTATAATCATTATCATAGGGGAGCGCTAAACCTCATAGGGATTATACAGTTTGTTGGGAGGGAAGATGGAAGACATTCAGTTCTTGGTGAAGCCTCACCCAGTGTTGCAATAGATCTCTTGTTTAACTACACACCAGACGGTTCAGGCATTGACTGCCCGGATTAAAAGGACATGCATTATTAGTGTAGTCATGGGGAATCTCTAAACCCGTAGGGGTTATGCAGCCCCTGGGTAAGAGGTTTGCCGTGTTGAATTTGGAGGGTAACTAGTATAATTTCGAGGCGTCGGATACAATATTCTAATTCACTAGTGAAGAAAACATTCGGTACTGTCACTATACTCACCAACGAGGAGACAGAGGAGCAGAGAGGCACCAGTGAACACTGTCATTAACACACTTTTCTCAACCCTCATCTTGATCCTGTAAACATTAACAAAAATTAAACTTGCGTCGCCACTGGGGAATTATTATAATCATGGGGGAGCGCTAGACCGTAGGATTATACAGCGCATGGGGGGAATGGAAGGTATTCAGGCTCAATTAAGGGAACCGGAGCACAGATCCAATTCCCTAGATCAAGAACCCCTCACCAGCGTCAAGGAACCTCCCGTGAGGGTCGCCACTGGGGAAAACCTCAATAACACTGATATAAGCATAAACTTTCATGTTAAGCATAGTTTCATCCCATAATAATAACTAGTTCATTCCACACACCATTTAGAAATTGTGTGTTTTCTCTCTATCATATAACACGTTGATAACAATACTTACCTCACAGTGAAATGTTGAAGACAAAGGAGTAACAATGTTACGTGAACCCCAGGATAATGGTGACTGCTGACACATTGTAGTCGACACTCGTATTTATAGTGATGCCAGGTAGAGGTGACACGTCTCGCCAGGTGATATATCAGAAGTTCTTTGAAAACCTCTTATTAGTGTTTACAAACTTCTGTTCTTTGACGTCACTCAGGTTGAGTGATTTTTTTTTTTATTTCCAATAACGCCGGGTAGACATGACTTGCACACCTGGTACAATACTTGGCTTCCACGGGTTAGGCTGGAAATAACATACAGGAGTTGTGAAGGATGGCTGCGTCAGCGTAGCCTTGAGTGTAGTTCAGCTTTCTGGTTATGTCCCGTATGATTGTAGATATATTTCTGTGGCAGCCCGTTTGTAATAACTTGTAGCTACAGGAGCAGATAAGTTCGTGCTGTCCAGTATGTACTCACCTAATTGTGGTTGCAGGGGTCGAGACTCAGCTCCTGGCCCCACCTCTTCACTGAACGCTACTAGGTCCTCTCTCTCCCTGCTCCATGAGCTTTATCATACCTCATCTTAAAGCTATGTATGATTCCTGCCTCCATTACATCACTTGCTAGACTATTCCACTTCCTGACAACTCTATGACTAAAGAAACACTTCCTAACATCCCTTTGATTCATCTGGGTCTTCAGCTTCCAACTGTGACCTCTTGTTTCTGTGTTCCATCTCTGGAACGTCCTGTCTCTGTCCACTTTATCTATTCCACGCAATATCCCGTATGTCGTTATCATGTCTCCCCTAAGCCTTCTTTCCTCCAGTGTCGTCAGGCCGATTTCCCTCAACTTTTCTTCGTAGAGCATTACCCTGAGCTCCGGAATTAACCTCGTTGCAAACCTTTGCACTTGTGTGTGTGTATGTGCTCACCTAATTGTGGTTGCAGGGATCGATTCAAAGCTCCTGGCCCCGCCTCTTCACTGGTCGCTACTAGGTGTGCGTGTGCGTACTTACCTAGTATATGTGGTTGCATCATAATCATGGGGGAGCGCTAAACCCGTACGATTATACAGCACCTGTAGGGGTGGGGATGTAAGGAATTCAGGCATAATTCAGGGAACTGGAGCACAGATCCAATTCCCTAGATCAAGAGCTCCTCAACAGCATCAAGGAACCCCCCTTGAGGGGATATGTGGTTGCAGGGGTCGATTCACAGCTGACCTCGCCTCCGCTGGTCGCTACTCTCTCCCGGCTTCAAGAATCTTATCGTACCTCTTCCTAAAGCTCCATATGGATTCTGCCTTTACTTTTGACATTTCTAAGGCGGAAGAAATATTTCCTAACATCCTTATGACTCACTGAATTTTCACCTTCCAGGTGTGTTCTGTTTCTGTTTGCCATCTCTGAAACATTCTTGCCTTGTTCACCTTGTCAATTCCTCTCGGTATTTTATACATCGTTATCATGTCCCCTTATATCCCTCCCGTCCTCAGGTGTCCTTACTTCCGGAACTAGTCCTCTTGCAAACTTTTGAAATTTCTCAAATTTCTTGATGTGCTTGACCAGGTGTGGGTTCCATACTGGTACTACGTACTTCAATATGGGCCTGACATACACGGTGTGCAGTGTCTTGAATGGTTCCTTACTTAGATGCCGAAACGCTATTCATAGATTTGCCAGGCACCCATATGCTGCAGCAGTTATTTGTCTGATGTGCGCCTCAGGTGATATGCTCAGTACGATACTCACCCCAAGATCTTTTTCCTTGAGTGAAGTTTACAGCCTTTGACCCCCGAGCATGTACTCCGTCTGCGGTCTTCTTTGTCCTTCCTCAAACTTCATGCCTTTGCACTTGGTGGGGTTAAACTCCAGGAGCTATTTGTCAGACCAGGCTTGCAGCCTGTCCAGATCCCTTTGTAGTCTTTCCTGATCTTCGTCCGCTTGTATTTTCCTCATTAGTTTCACGCCTGTCTGCGAACAGGGACACATCTGACATGTCAGTCACATATACAAGAACCCCAATCGACACATGCACCCACTCCGACACATCGTCACACACCATCATTCATTGTTTCCTTCTTGTCAGGTATTCCCTGATCCATTGAACTACTTTTCCTGTTATTCCTGCCTGCTCCTCTAGCTTTTGAACCAGTTTCTTGTGCGGTACAGTCCAATAATATGCAATCTACCCATCGCTCTCTCTCCCCTGTCTTCTGTTATAATGTCGTAGAACTCCATACGATGTTTTAGGATTTTCCATTCCTGTAATCGTGCTGGTTGTTGTGTGTGAGCCCACTCCTGTCTAGGTGCTTCACCACTCTTCTCCTGATAATCTTCTCCATGACTTTGCATGCTATATATGTCAGTGATCGTGATCTGTAGTTTAGTAATGCCTGTTTGTATCATTTATTAAAAACTGGGACTACATTTGCTGTCTTCTACACCTCTGGCAGTCGACCTGTTTCGGTAGATTTGTTGTTGTGTGCGTACTCATCTATTCCTTGTGTGTGTGAGTGTGTGTGTGTGTGTGTACTCCCCTAGTTGTACTCACCTAGTTGAGGTTGCGGGGGTCGAGTCCGAGCTCCTGGCCCCGCCTCTTCACTGATCGCTACTAGGTCACTCTCCCTGAGTTAGTTAGTTTAATATGTTTATTATGCACCCCATACCCATCCTGTGGGCGGTAGTCAAAAGATTACAGAGGTACATAATTGGTCCAGGGACTGGACTCCAAAGTTTTGATAGCTGAGCAAGTTACAGAGGTAATGAACTCACAATTTACAAAGGTAATGAACTCACAATTTACAAAGGTAATGAACTCACAATTTACAAAGGTAATGAACTCCAGGTAAGTCTGGTCACAATCATGACAAGTTACAAAGGTATTTACAGATTACAGAGGTACGTAATGGGTCCAGGGACTGGGCCCCCAAAGTTTTGATAGCTGAACTAGGTACAAAGGTAATGAGAGCCGTGAGCTTTATCATACCTCTGCTTAAAGCTATGTATGGATCCTGCCTCCACTACATCGCTTCCCAAACTATTCCACTTACTGACTACTCTGTGGCTGAAGAAATACTTCCTAACATCCCTGTGATTCATCTGTGTCTTCAACTTCCAACTGTGTCCCCTTGTTACTGTGTCCAATCTCTGGAACATCCTGTCTTTGTCCACCTTGTCAATTCCTCTCAGTATTTTGTACGTCGTTATCATGTCCCCGCTATCTCTCCTGTCGTCAGGTTGATTTCCCTTAACCTCTCCTCGTAGGACATACCTCTTAGCTCTGGGACTAGTCTTGTTGCAAACCTTTGCACTTTCTCTAGTTTCTTTACGTGCTTGGCTAGGTGTGGGTTCCAAACTGGTGCCGCATACTCCAATATGGGCCTAACGTACACGGTGTACAGGGTCCTGAATGATTCCTTATTAAGATGTCGGAATGCTGTTCTGAGGTTTGCTAGGCGCCCATATGCTGCAGCAGTTATTTGGTTGATGTGCGCTTCAGGAGATGTGCCTGGTGTTATACTCACCCCAAGATCTTTTTCCTTGAGTGAGGTTTGTAGTCTCTGGCCCCGTAGACTGTACTCCGTCTGCGGTCTTCTTTGCCCTTCCCCAATCTTCATGACTTTGCACTTGGTGGGATTGAACTCCAGGAGCCAATTGCTGGACCAGGTCTGCAGCCTGTCCAGATCCCTTTGTAGTTCTGCCTGGTCTTCGATCGAGTGAATTCTTCTCATCAACTTCACGTCATCTGCAAACAGGGACACCTCAGAGTCTATTCCTTCCGTCATGTCGTTCACAAATACCAGAAACAGCACTGGTCCTAGGACTGACCCCTGTGGGACCCCGCTGGTCACAGGTGCCCACTCTGACACCTCGCCACGTACCATGACTCGCTGCTGTCTTCCTGACAAGTATTCCCTAATCCATTGTAGTGCCTTCCCTGTTATCCCTGCTTGGTCCTCCAGTTTTTGCACCAATCTCTTGTGTGGAACTGTGTCAAACGCCTTCTTGCAGTCCAAGAAAATGCAATCCACCCACCCCTCTCTCTCTTGTCTTACTGCTGTCACCATGTCATAGAACTCCAGTAGGTTTGTGACACAGGATTTCCCGTCCCTGAAACCATGTTGGCTGCTGTTGATGAGATCGTTCCTTTCTAGGTGTTCCACCACTCTTCTCCTGATAATCTTCTCCATGATTTTGCATACTATACATGTCAGTGACACTGGTCTGTAGTTTAATGCTTCATGTCTGTCTCCTTTTTTAAAGATTGGGACTACATTTGCTGTCTTCCATGCCTCAGGCAATCTCCCTGTTTCGATAGATGTATTGAATATTGTTGTTAGGGGTACACATAGCGCCTCTGCTCCCTCTCTCAATACCCATGGGGAGATGTTATCCGGCCCCATTGCCTTTGAGGTATCTAGCTCACTCAGAAGCCTCTTCACTTCTTCCTCGGTTGTGTGCACTGTGTCCAGCACATGGTGGTGTGCCCCACCTCTCTGTCTTTCTGGAGCCCCTTCTGTCTCCTCTGTGAACACTTCTTTGAATCTCTTGTTGAGTTCCTCACATACTTCACGGTCATTTCTTGTTGTCTCTCCTCCTTCCTTCCTTAGCCTGATTACCTGGTCCTTGGCTGTTGTTTTCCTCCTGATGTGGCTGTACAATAGTTTCGGGTCAGATGTGGCTTTCGCTGCTATGTCATTTTCATATTGTCTTTGGGCCTCCCTTCTTATCTGTGCATATTCGTTTCTGGCTCTACGACTGCTCTCCTTATTCTCCTGGGTCCTTTGCCTTCTATATTTCTTCCATTCCCTAGCACACTTGGTTTTTGCCTCCTGCACCTTTGGGTAAACCATGGGCTCATCCTGGCTTTTTCATTATTCCTGTTACCCTTGGGTACAAACCTCTCCTCAGCCTCCTTGCATTTTGTTTGCTACATATTCCATCATCTCATTAACTGGCTTCCCTGCCAGTTCTCTGTCCCACTGAACCCCGTTCAGGAAGTTCCTCATTCCTGTGTAGTCCCCTTTCTTGTAGTTTGGCTTCATTCGTCCTGGCCTTCCTGCTTCTCCCTCCACTTGTAGCTCTACCGTGTATTCGAAGCTTAAAACCACA